ACAGTTTAGGCAAAGGTATTTCTGCCTACAGGGAAAATTGGGGCCTGAGGAACGAGGTTTGCAGTTTGAAGGCCAAGAGGTATCTTTCGATTTGCCTCTGTATGAGGTTGCTGGGGAAGATGGTTTCCTCGTTCGAGGCTATTCCCTATGCCCAATTCCACTCCAGACCTCTGCAAAGATGCATTCTGTCTGTTTGGAACAAAAAGATTCCGGCCCTGGATTACTGCATATCTCTGTCTTTAGAGATGTGACAGAGCCTGAATTGGTGGTTGGAGAAGGGAAGATCCTTTCAGCCAGTGGTGTGGAAGTTGGTAACCACCGATGCCAGCATTTCAGGTTGGGGGGCTGTTCTGGAAGAGGGCACAGTTCAGGGAACATGGCTTCCACAGGAAAGGGTTCTTCCCATCAATGTCCTGGAACTTCAAGCAGTGAGGCTGGCTCTGAGATATTGGACATCCAGGCTTCAGGTTTGACCTGTAGGGATTCAGTCTGACAATGCCACAGCAGTGCACCAGGAGTCAAGGTGCTCAGAAGGAGGTGAACTATATTCTAACCTGGGCAGAGAGATGCAATATGTTCCAAGTCTGTCAGTAGTGTTCATTCCAGGTGTGGAAAATTGGCAGGTGGATTATCTCAGTCGCCGGCAGTTGATTCCAGGGAAATGGGCTTTGCATCCTGATATTTTCCAGGAAGTCTATCAGCAACAGGGTTGCCCGGATGTAGATTTATTGCAATCCAGCTTCAACAACAAGGTCAGTCTTTTTGTGTCCAGGCTAAGGCACCCTTGCACGGCAGGGGTAAATGCCTTAGTGATGCCTTGGAACCAGTTCTCACTGATTTATGCCTTTCCTCCAGCTGCTGCCATGTCTCTTATGCAGGATTTGGAAGGAGTCTATTCTGGTGATACTAATTGCTCTGGCCTGGCCCAGGAGGGCCTGGTATGCAGATATAGTGAAGAAGGCAGCAGATGGGCCGTGGGCCTTTCCGTATCGGCCAGACCTGTTGTCTCAAGGTCCTAAATTGCACCCAGCTTTACGGGTGCTAAATATGACGGCGTGGCCATTGAAACCCAGATCCTGAAGGATAGGGGAGTGTCAGATTCTGTCATGTCCATCATGTTGGATGCTAGAAAGGAAGTTTCTAGGAACATTTATTATAGAACCTGGAAGGCTTACATTTCCTGGTGTGAGATTCACAAATGGCACCCATGAAAGTATGTGATGGGCAGGATTCTGTCATTTCTTCAAACAGGGTTGCAGAAGAATTTGGCTGTTGGTACCATTAATCAGGTTTCATCATTAGCTATTTTTTTCCAGAGGCCCATTGCATTGCACTCTTTGGTCCGCAATTTTTGATGGCTCCTCCTGTCAGGTTCCCTTTGTGTCCTTGGAACCTGAACTTGGTATTGGAGATTTTGCAAAAGCCACCATTTGCACCTATTGGAAAGATTCCACTGGTCCTGTTGTTTCTAGTGGAAATCACTGGCACTTGCAGAGAACCATTTATGGTTTTGCATTATGATAAGGTGGTGTAGCGACCTTATCCGTGCTTTTTACCAAAGGTAGCTTTCATCTCAATCAGGACATAGTTCTGTCTTCATTCTTTCCTAGGCCTCAGTCAGCAAGAGAAAGATCTTTGCAAACCTTGGATGTGGTTCATGCTGTAAGGGTCTTCATGAAGGTGACAGCACAGGTCAGATGCTCTATTTGTGCTGCCAGAGGGCCTAGGAAGGAGCAGGCATCCAAGACGACTTATTCTCATTGGATCTGCTAATTGATCATTCAAGCCTATGGTCTGAAAGGTAAAGTCCCACCCTTTCGGGTGGAAGCACACTCCACCAGGAGTGTGGGGGCATCTTGGGCAATCCGCCAACAGGCTTCAGTGGCTCAGGTTTGCAAGGTGGCTACATGGTCTTAGGTTCACACATTCACAAGGTTCTACCAAGTGGATGTCAGAGTCGCAGAGGATTCTGCCTTTGGCTGCAGTGCTTTACAGATGAGTAGGTCCTGGGGGATTATTGATGGTGGCTATCATGGTGTCACCCTCCCCTCAAATTTCGTATTGCTTTGGGACATCCCACATAGTCATGAATAGCCTGCTCTGTGTCCCATGATGTACGATAAAGAAAACTGGATTTTTTCTACATACTTACCTGTAAAATCCATTTCTTAGAGTACATCACAGGATACATAGGTACCACACCTCCTTCTGGAATGTAATTGCTACAAAAACTGAGGTACTTCCTGTATAGGAGGGGTTATATAGGGGAGGACCTCTTCTCTGACCGGTCAGCCAGTGTCCATTCACCTATAGGTGGCCTATAACCCACATAGTCATGAATAGGCTGTTCTGTGTCCCGTGATGTACTCCAAGAAATGAATTATACAGGTAAGTATTTAAAAAAAAAACCAATTAGTTTTAATTTTTTTGCAAAAAAATACAAAACATAACCCATTCTTTTGTAAAATAAAAAAGATAATGTTACGCCAAGTAAATAGGTATCAAACATGTCAAGTACTCACACCCAAGCAAATGTGACAAATGGCATAAATTTTTACTATTCATAGCTTACCACTTTAGAGTTACAGAGGAGGTCCAGTGTCATGTACATGGCTGGAGGTTGAGGTGATGGAAAGGCTCCCCTTACAGCTAAGTGCAAAGCAGCCCTGAAGGTAGTCACAGAAGGTGCAGTTTCCAAAGAAGCATGGGTTGCCAGTGGTGTGGTTGCTTGGTGGTTCAAAATGAGAAGACACGCGAGGGCAGAGAGGACACAGCAGATGACTCTCTGGAAGACTGGCGAATCTTGACAAATGGGCAGAGTAGGAAACGTAGTCAGAAGCAAGGGCCGGGGGATGAAAACAAAAGATATCAATCAGGAATGGAGGCCGAAGCGTGGTCAGGGTCAAGCCAGGGTCAGACACAGGACATCAATCAGGAACAGACAACAAGCTGGGGTAAGAACCAGGAGAGAAGCAGGAACAGGTCAGGGTCAAGCTGGGTCAGTAACCGGTAATCAAGCAGAGTAACACGCACAGGAACACAGGAACAGAAGTCTGTTGATAATCCAGCAATTACTGAGAGGAGCTGCAGTCCTCATAAAGGCCACTGGGTGCCAAAAACTATCATGCTTTACGTTCCCCAGTGTGCCGTCATATTCGCAGATACATGCCGCGCACCTTTGCGCATGCACACATTTTTGCCGAAATTAGCAAAGCCATATTGAGCTTTGGCACATTTGCCAGGATTTATCAGATTTCTTCCCTAACATCTAGTGCCATAATTTCCCATGATCTGACTATTGCAGTGATACCTCACATGTGTGGTACGATTGCTATTTTCACATGTCTGGGACCGTTGCATGCATTTGCCTTTGCGTGCTAACATGGGGGGGGGGAGGCTTGGGGGCACATTCATCTTTTTTTTCATCACTAGTTTTTTTGTCACACTGTCACTTAATTTTTTTTATTGCTATCACAGGAATTTTTAAACATTGCCTGTGACAGCAATAGACATGTGACAGGTATTTTTATGGAGTGATCTGGGGTCTGGGACCCCAAATCCCTCTTCTGCACTTGAAAGCATTCAAAACATCAAGATTGGTGTTTTTGAATGCTTTCAGATTTTTAAAAATGGTGCCGAAAGCTTCCGAGTAAACTGAAAGTTATGTCAGGTCATTGCTTCTGGTTTAGAACAAAGAAGAGCCAATCAAAGCCGATTCCGGCTTTGTTCGGCTGTCTGCCAGACGCGCCGGCTGGTCACTCGGGACTTTCGGTGGGGTGAGCTGCTCCGATTGCTTGTACAAGAGAGCCGACCGCCAGCTCTAAAAAAATTATACCAGGGTGACGCCTGATACAACCACCGGAAGTCCAGCCATGTACGGGTATAACGCTGGTCCGGATTGGATATATACATAACATGGGCAGCACAGTGGCTAAAGGGCTAGCACTTCCGCCTGGCATTACTAGGGTCGTTGGTTCGAATCCCAGCCACGGCACCACCTGCCTGGAGTTTGCATGTTCTCCCTGTGTGGGTTTCTTCGGGGTACTCCGATTTCCTCCCACACTCCAAAGACATGCTGGTAGGTTCATTGGCTCCTGTCTAAATTGGCCCTAGTATTTGTATGTATGAATGTGAGTTAGGGACCTTAGATTGTATGCCCCTTTGAGGGTAAGGGACTGATGTGAAAGTACAATATATATATATATCTGTAAAGCGCTGTGTAAATGGACGGTGTTATATAAGTACCTGAAATAATAATAAAACCTGTTGATCCTCCCCTTTAAATATATTCACATCAACAAAATTGCAGATGACAATACAAATATGCAAAAACTCAGTCCATAATATTCAAATAAATATTCATTTGTTAAAAGTTCAAATCAAATTCACTCATATAAAATACTGTGTATATCCAACAGCAACAAAATTGCGGGTAAATACAGTGTGCATGTCAGAAAAGTCCACAATAAGTAAAAGTCCATCCAAAGTGAAAGTGATATGTAAATCTCACATGTGGTCACTCCACTGCTACAACACCCTTGAAGATGACCTCTTTGTGATTAAATGCATTGGGCAGGGCCGGAGTGGCTGAAATCATGGTGGTGGTTGCATGCTGTGTATTGTCTTCCTTATGTGAGTTACCTACTGGTGCCTTATTAACAATAAAATCTGCCTGATAGTGTTGCACTATGAATCTGTACTCTTTCTCTTTCATTCATGATTTACTGAAGAAATGTGATACCTAATTGAAGTTTATCAGGCGGTTACCTGGGTTAGTCCTCATGTGCTCATGACCTTAAAGTATAACTATACTCACCTTGGCTTCAGTGATGCAGTGTCTTGGAGCTCCCCGCTGATCTATGAGTGGGCGGCTTCTGAGCATCGGTTGGCTGGGCCGATATCACGTCACTCCTGCGCAGGAGTTCAGTCAGCTTCAGCATTGACAAATTCCTACGCATTTCCAGCTCAATGTTCAGAGGTGGACAGGCAAGTAGATAACTTTAACCCCCCTGGCGGTATTCCCGAGTGTAGCTCGGGGTAAACTTTCAGTACAAGAAGCAGTAACCCTTAGCTACACTCGGGATTACACTGCAACGTTGCTCTGGGATTCCCTCCAGCACTTACCTTGTCCTGCGCTCCCGCGATGTCCCCCCTGCAGCGTTCCTGGCCATCTCCTCCGGTCGATGCTGGCATCCGTCTTCCGGGTTCCGTTCCCTGCGAGCGTCGGGACGTACGGGATGTACGGGGGATGGAACTGGCAAGAAATTCAAACATTTAAAAATGCGACATTCACTCAATGCACTAAAATCTCATAGTATAACATTACTGTATCAAAGCATTCACATACATTTTGTCCCTAGTGTTTTGTCCTGTGCCCTGCCTGCATTGTTACCGTTCTTTCTGCCTGGAAACTGAGAGTCCATGGCGTCCAAAAAGCATCCTTTTAGGTCAAAAGCGGTTTTAGATCAGCTAGAGAACAGCGATAGTAAATCAGAACTACTTGCAGAATTGAATGATAATGATTTGTGGGGAAATTCGTCATCAGACACTGAAAACGATTTTGCGACTAAGATTAGTGATGTGCGAACTTGGCGCTCTATTTCAAATTTCTGTTTTTTTGGTTTGATTACATTATTGAATTAAATTTATTATTATTATATTATTATTTTTTATGCTTATTTATTATATTATAATTTATGATTTCGTGTTTCAAATTTTATCATACCCGGGATGTTTACTAGACTCTTGTTCGGACAGATTTCAGTGAGTTATTCCTAAGAATTACAGGCCTACAATTAAAAAACAACATATTTCCATTGAAAACAATATACCGCTTTGAGCACAGAAATACTGACATAATCATACTGCTAGGGAGGTTAATGCAGAAGAGACAAAGTATGTCTCTTCTGCATTAAAAATCCTGCTTTTCGCCCTTTCACATAAAGTTCCAATATCATTTCTAGTAAGAGGAAACTTTTAGTGTTGGAGCACTGGTGTGACCATGTGTGAGATTTACATAGCACTTTCACTTTAGATGGATGTAGCACCACCCCCGAAGGCGCCGCTTTGGGTTCTCTGTTCTACGCCTTGACTCCAAGAACAACCTCAGCCCCTCTTACACACCTGGTTGAGTAAAAATCACTGTAAGCATAAGGAAAGACACAAGTGTAAAATACCTTTAAACTGGCAGTGGGTTACTACTACTAAATAGACATGGCAATTTGAACATAATTAAGCACACAGAGGTAGATTATGACACAGTCTGCTAGACAGAGTAACGACTATGCCAAATTAGCAAAAAGTTGGTCTTATACCATTAGTTAGAATCAAAGATAGTTAGCAAATCAGTAATAAACAATATTAATAAATGTTAAATGCCGTATAAATGAGGATAATACTACACTGGATTACAGTGCACTCTAAAGGAATTGGCTGGGTCACTTAAGAGGTACCGCTTTAGCTTAACAAAGAGACAAGACCTCAGGGCAGCAACTGTTAGAGATAGTCTTTAGTCCTGAATCTTCAGCCAGCTAAGTATTGATGGCCAGTAACTGTTGCCGAGCTTTAAGGCAGTCAATAAAGTCTGCAGGCAGTATTAGAGCTATAGGGTTGCTGGTAAGTAGCTCCTAACGGCTCAGTCTCTAATGGTGGTAACAAGTAGTGGCTTTAAGGCCCTCTCAACAGACCCAGCCAACACAGCAGCAGTGATCCCTGCAATTAGGTGTCCATTCAATCTGGGTTGTCCTTGGTGACTCTGGATGGCAGAACATCAGGTCCGTACCCTGGCAGCAGCTTCATCCCTCCACCCTCAGGTCATGCTCTGTACCCACTGGTAGTCCCACACACAGCAGTGGGCTTTCGCTGGCACAAGCTCTCTTTCCCTTAAGCGACGTCTTCCAGCACGGTCCTCTCACACACTTTTTCCAGAAAAAAACTGGTTCTGTCCACCCTACTGGTTGGTCCAATGCTGTTGCTAGGAGAGAGGGGAAAGAGAGTCCACACATACAGTCCTCTCTTTTGGTAAACTTTGTGCTGCTGACAGGAAAATGGAGAGCGAGCGGGTAGTTACACAGATAGCCTGCAGCTTACTTTTCCTCTGTCCCAGCACAGGAGACCTGCGAAGAGAAAAGGCAGATGAGCCAGGGGGAAAAGGATCAGCTGCCCAACTACATGGACTTTTCCGTATTGTGGACTTTTCTCACATGCACACTGTATTTGTCCACAATTTAGTTAATATATATTGATGTCTTATATTCAGACAAATACTGAATGCTGCTTCTACATCACTTATACACTTTTGTACATGTTTAATTTTTAGCATAACCTAGCACAGATGTATTTATTTTCCATAGCACTGTTTACAGCACTGTTTAGCACAACTATCTCCCTGCAAAGTCTGTCAGCTGTCCCCATCTATATATCCACTTCACAACCGCGCTATAGCCAAATGATGGCTACAGCATGGTTGTCCAGTTCAGGGAGGGTGTCATATGACGTCCTCCCAGAACACGCCCTCCCATGCACCCCCAGCGACGCGCATTTGCCGCTGTCCGTGTTTGCTATGTCCTACAGACACACCTGATCACATGATGAGGTAAAAGGCCAATCACAGCGGCCTTTTACCATGTGATCAGCTGTGTCCAATGACACAGCAGATCATTGAGTAAATACAGCTGCCGGTTATCAGCAGCACTTTCCTCATGCTGTCACAGTATGAGGAAAGTACTGCCAATAACCGGCAAATGTCACAGAGGACATCTGCACTGATCATCAGGGCACTGATGATCATTGCCCAGCAGTGCTGCCTAGCAGTGCCACCCACCAGGTGCCCAGCAGTGCCTCCCAGCAGTGCCCATCAGTGCCTCCCAGCAGTGCAACCATCAGTGCCCATCAGTGCTGCCCATCAGTGCCCAGCAGTGCTGCCAGTCAGTGACGTCAGTCAGTGCTGTCAATCAACGCCATCCATCAATGTTGCCCATCAGTGCCACCTATCAGTGCTCATCAGTGTCCATCAGTGCCACCTACCAGTGCCCATCATTGCTGCATATCAGTGCAGCATCACCAGTGCCTCCTCCTCAATGTGCACCAGTGGCACCTCATCATTGCCACCTCATCAGTGCCCATCAGTGCTGCCTATCTGTGCCACCTCATCAGTGCCCATCAGTGCTGCCTATCAGTGCAGCCTCATCAATGCCCATCAGTGCAGCCTCATCAGTGCCCATCAGTACTGCCTATCAGTGCAGCCTCACCAGTGCTCATTAGTGCTGCCTATCAGTGCCCATCAGTACTGCCTATCAGTGCAGCCTCATCAACGCACATCAGTGAAGGAGAAAAAATTACCTGTTTGCAAAATTTAGAAAATAGAAACAAAGAAAAACTTTTTTTTTTGCTCTTTTTTCATTTATAGTGCAAAAATATACCACCAAAAGAAAGCTCTATTTGTGTGAAAAAAATTATAACATTTTAATATGGGTACAGTGTTGCATGACCGCACAATTGTCATTCAAAGCGTGAGAGCGCTGAAAGCTGAAAATTGACCTGGGAAGGAAGGGGGTAAAAGTGCTCGGTAGGCAAGTAGGTAAGCACTTCAATACTATAGAACGTACCTGTATGACTTCTTGTTGAAGCGGGAATATCAGGGCCATGACTGCAGCTGCAGCCATGAACCTGGTATCAGTGTTTTCAGCCGGTGATGCTTAAAAGTGTCAAAGCGATCTGAGCTATATAACCTTTGAATTTCTTTTACATGCAGCAGAAGGGGGTCCCCCACCACCTTCTGCGGCCTCCATGGGTACAAACGGAATGTCTCTGATCATCTCTATGGTCTAAGAAGTGTCAGAATTGTCCCGTTAGGTATGTGGTTAAACACACACTGGCTAAAGGCTGCTGGGGACAGTGCCGTTTATAGTGATGGGGCTAGAACATAAAGACAAAAAAAAAATAAAAAAATTGTAAACCCCTTTGTGGCACTTGACCACAGTTCAAATGCCAGCAAGTGCATTATTCATAGTTGGTTGCTACGTCAACAAAAGACTGCATTTGTTTGCCGGGTCACAAACAGCAAACAGTTGGCTGGGTATCCCCCAAACCCATACTCATCCCGAACCCAAAGCTCATCCCTATCAAGCAGTAAACATGCCCCTGAATTTCTAGGTTCCAAGGTCCAAATACCAGCCATAGCAATTCTGAAACGTTTTGATCTCCCATTGGGATGTGTCATTTACTGTCATTTATATAGCTAAGAAAGGGGTAATGTTTTATGTTAGGGTGATGCTAAGAAATAAATTAATCCAGCAGGTTACCCACTCAGCCTGTAAACAAAAATGTTTGAATGAAGGAACTTGTACTTTAAACCCATTTACTAAAAAGTAAGTAAACATCTTAAAAGGGAGGGATGTTTTGTTCAGCTGAGTATGTGGCAGGGAGTATTAATACGTATTTGGTTTGCTTTTGGATCACGCATTGTTCCCCAAACACATTATGCTACATCACTGTAAAATATAGCATGCAGGGAAGATGTTAATGGCACTCTCCCAGGTGAATATAATTCTCTTCATTATATCAAGATAGCAGAATTAATAAACGTTACAAGTGCCCGAGGGACTTTAGATGCAACTAACAAAGAGTGGATTTAAAAAAAAAGATTCCTGGGGCCAGGAAAGCCCCAGTAATATACTCTGTCATGATCCAGGAAGACATCCAGAATGTGTGTGTGTAATTCTGATAAAGCTGAGCGATATCATCTGGCTTAATATTTTGTTGTCCTTGACAACCAGACAAGAAAGGACATGTGTTCCAGCCCACTGGGTCACCCTAAGCCCTGATTATTGCTGAAATAATAGAGCTCTGATCTTTTTTCACCACACATACTATGCAAAAGCTCAAGTGTTTTTTTTTCTCATTCTTAGACAAAATCTACATACAAGTAATAAGCCCTTATAATGTAGTGATGACATGGTCATTGGCTAAAATAAACAATAATCAGATACTTAAATGAACCAATTAATATAAATGGTAAATGACCTATGCGGGAAAACTACAGTTATGTGTTGAAGATTTATGTGTTTATGTTTTGTATGAACTAAAGGAACCTACCGTACATTTATAAAGGTAGGAAAAGTGTTTTTTCTTCATGCAGATGGTTTCTTGACTGCTAATCACATTGAGAGAAGCTGAAGTTATTAATATTATTATTATACAGGATTTATATAGTGCCAACAGTCTGCGCAGCACTTTACAATATAAAGGAGACAGTACAATTACAATACATTTCAGTACAGAAGGAATATGAGTGCCCTGCTCGTGGAGCTTACAATCTAAAGGAAGGAGGAGGTGGTACAAAAGGTGAT